TAAAATATATTTTATTAATAAAATAAAGAAAAAAATACATGAAAGAACCACTAAAATTATCCTTTTAATAACTTCAGCCAATATAGCTAAAAAGTAGCTTCAATCTTACTTTTTCTTATAATTACACGTGTTCATAAATTTTTAATATTATTTTAAATCATACTTCGTAAATTAAAAAGGTTTAAGTAGTTTTACTAATAACACTAACAAAAAAATTAATTGATGTCCTTAATGATCATTTAAGAAATTATCAGCTAATTTCAAACGCGTACGGCTATTTAAACTAACATCATTTTACAAACAACTAACAGTATCAACTAATCAAAACAACCAAAAAGAATCTACTGATATCAATCAGCTAAACCAATCAGCCAACGGCGCGGCTAAACACCTTCATATTCCACATCATTTCCGACGGGTTGACTGGTTTAGGAAATGGTGTTTTTCCCATTCCGAATGGCAATCAAGTGTTTTAATTTCACCCCTATTTTTGGGTCAAATTTCACCCCTATTTATGGACATAGTTTAGAAAATCTTATCATCATTTTGTGCTTGAATGAGCTGTAAAGCCAATTACAATTTACAATCACATATAATAATCTCTTAGAAACTACAGAGAAATTGCTTCTAAAATATGTCAACTTAAATACTTAATTATTAACACGTCTAAACTACTCCATCCATATATTCCAACTGGTTAAAAATATTTTCACATTTCTTTTTGAGATGCCTAAAAATGAAAATTGTATACCTGTAGTTTTTAAGCAGTGTGTAGTTGTTAATATGATACTCCGTATTCTGATCTCTATTTATATCAACCACAAACATTGCATATAATTTCATTTGCTAAATAAATTTTGAGGGAAGGAGTGATATATTTTCTTTAGGTAGAATTAAATAACAAAGTAGCAATATGTATGTGAGGATATGGGCGAAGAGGATTTTGGGAATTATAAGATTATATCAAATTTAAGGTTTGTGATTACTTGTAGAAAATTTTAAAATAACTTTACATTTCTGAATTGTCCACTAAAATTCATTTGTTACAAACAATAGCTTTGGTCTACTAAACAAACGAGCTCTGTTTTGTATTTCTACTTGGTGGACGTAGCTCAGTTGGTAGATTGGAAGTGCTACAAGTGATAAGTATCGGTTTCGAATCGTGACAACTGATATGCGATGTTATTTTGTAAAAATGCATAGGACTTTCTGTAAGTACTTGGATCAGGACCCACTTATTATCTGTCAATCTGTGATTAAATTTCAATCTACTGCATCCTACGAGTTAATTGTAAGACCGATGTTCAGGTGTCCTCCAAGATGTAAGACCGACGTACTCGTTTTGGACCTTCTTTTGCTTTTCTTTTTAGTTTACCAAGTTGTTACGCAGTGAATTAATTAGTAATTGAAATGATTAGTTTAAACTTTGCTCGTTGCTTTACACCTCTAAAGAAGAAATGGTGGCACGAAAAGCTATGGTCCTGGCCGCTAAGTTTACCTACTAGAAGAATCTTAAACACACAAATGTATGAAACCGATCGGTGATGATGATAATTCCCCCTCAATCGGGCTCTTTTACCTGGCTTTAGATTTTTCTTTCCTCCTTTTCTGAATTCAGAAAAGTACTCCCTCCGTATTTATATCTTCCCTACATTTACTTTCGCCACAATATTTTAGGAAAGAATAGTAAGGATAGTGAATAGTGTAGAATAAGTAGAAGAGAGTGTGTAAAATTATGAAAGAGAAGATAAAAAGTAAATAAAATAAGGATAATTGAGTATTTTATAAAGGATAAACTTACCAAAAATGAAAGTGTATGGAACTTTTAAATACATCACAAAAATGGAAAATGTAGGAAACTTTTAAATATGAAAGGAGTATATAATAATTATATATATCATGAATCAGGCTCATCAATTTATTTGGGTTTCGGAGTTTGGACCATATATATTTTATGTGACCAAAAGTCAGAAAACATCCGGCATAACCCGAGCATCGGGATGGACTAGCTAGGATTGGTAGAAAGCCTTTTTGAACAAATATTTTACATGAAATTTTTACACAAATAGGTAAAAAAAAAAATGGAGTGAACAAGCCTAATAACATTATAACAATAGTAATTAATAATAATATTAAAAACAACAACAATGATAATAATTGTTACCATATTTTTCTCAATAATACAAAACTGAAACAATATATGATTAAAGTTTGCAATGTTTATATTGCTATATATTATTATGAGATATTTTTATTAGTGATGTTCTTAGAAGTTTATAATTTCAAAATCAAAGCAATGAGTTCTATATATTAGTATACAAGGGAAATTTTCCAAAATACGAGTAAAGACATATTTGAATTTCAAAATATGATTGTCATGCTTTTATTTCCTAAATATGAATAATTATTATCAAGTTTGACAAATATTGTCATGTTTAAGTCTGTAATGTCAAAACATTATAGTAATAATTACTCTTATATAGAGAACAAAAAACATGACAACCCTATTTAAGATTCGCAATCCTAATTCTATGTAGCTTGACTTACTTTTAACAAGATTCCTTTAGGCCGATTCTGAAGTTATTACTAATTCGCAAAACATGGCAAATTATATGGTACCTTCACGGTATTGTGCCTTGTGTTCACATACGGAGAGTATATATGAATCAATCATAATATTGCAATAAAATAATTTAAATACAAATGAATGATGAACTATAGATTTGGATCAATCAAATGCATGATATGTAAGGTACCCTCACTTTTTATGGGTATCGTAGCATTCTTCATTACTTATTTCTTTTTAAATACAGAAATTAATATGCGAAATAGATCCATAATACTATAATAGTCAAATTCTATGGTATTCTCAAGGCACGATATCTTGTTCATATAGACTAATCAAAATATTACAAATTTACAATAATTCAAATATAAATAAATGATAAAATAATGGATTGAATCAGGAGAATGTGTGGTATGTATGATACCCTTAACCCTCCCTACTTTTACGAGTGTAACATTCATATATGCCACATCCATGTAATTTTTTTTATAATCCTCCATAATATATATTTCTTATTCATCTAAGTAACTAAATCATACTCCTGTACTATTTTTGATTTCCTGCGTCGTGTTAAGTTGGGCTATAATTTAAGAAATTGATTAAAGTATGATATAATTCACGTAATTTTGGTTTTCATATTAAAACACTAAAAGTAATTAAAAGAAAATGAAAATTGTAAAGAAAATGAAAATTTTATTTTAGTAACTATAATCTTAAATAATGTAACCATTTTTAAACAATACTGTATGTTTTAACCATTTTCTTGATCAATTGATTAAACCGGCCGGTTAATCAAAGCATAAACAATTAATGCCCGTATTAAACAAAAGAAACAATTATTTACTTTTCACTCTTTATTTTGTCCAAAATTATCTTTCACACATTACATACTCAAAGCATAGCCATTACCAAAAACTTAAATAGTCGAAATATATCAAATAAAAATGAGTGGAGTTAGACCAAGACTAAAAAAAGAGGCGTTTCTTGAACAAAGAATTGAGTGGAGTTAAGACTTAAAGAGGCAGATTAACAATTTAACAAGAGTCAGGAAGCAAATTTAACCATTTGTACGTATAAGAACCAAATTGATAGTTTTCCCAAAAATAAATTAAATTGTCAAAATATTGACTCCAAGATATCTGATCTTTAAGCAAGAACTCAATTACAGAATTACTTATCACGATTAGCAAAAAAAATAAAGGGTCCAGAGAAGGAAAATGGAAAAGAAAAGGTATATTGTATAGGAAAATGGAAAATGGAAAAATAAATTATTATTTTTTCTTATCACGATTAGCACAATAAATAAAGGGTCCAGAGAAGGAAAATGGAAAAGAAAAGGTATATTGTATACGATTTATTTCCCAAGAGGCTTTATTTTTAACATTTGTTTGTATGTTTTACGGTTACCGCTTGAGCTTTGCATTTTGCAACATGTTCATTTTATATTCCAAGAACGCCTTGAAATACCGTTCATGGAATTATTTAAGCAACAAAGCCACAAAGAAAGTTTAAACTCATGCATCATGCTAGTTTTCATAAGCATTCACTCAAAATTTTGTAGTTCTCACGAAATCGAAAAGTAAAAAAGGGGCAACCACCCCAATAGAATTAATTATTTTTTATTGCTTATATCATTTGGAAGTTGTTTCGTTTGTTTGATCTAAATTTATAGCGTAGGAAGAGTGAATGATGATATAGTGGCCGTTTTGAGGACCAAAAAATTTGCTAAACACTCGTAACTGGGCTGTTATAACTGATTCTTATTTTCACCCAAAAAAAAAACAACCCAAAACCTACTTTTCCCGTTAAAAATTATTTTTTAGTGTTAGATGTATGAAATTACTTTATCCTTCTTTTATAGAGAGTCAGTATTTGGATGCATATTCGTTCCTTGCTCCAAATGCATAACTTTTGTTTCATATGTTTGATTTCAAATATTTGCGAGAGCAGCTCTTCAATTGAACTCTAAGAGCTATAAATAAGGTGTACAATACATATAACATTATAAGAGCTAAAATAATATTGATATTTCAAATGTAAGAGTAAGCAAAATTTCCAAAGTAATTAGTAAATTAAGTAATTTTATAATAACTTAATCAAGCAAAAATAATTAGCTAGCAAAGTTCCTATCCATATATTTCACACAAATAAGCCAATATCCTTATGCTAATTTTACATTCAATCAGCCATTTCAGCCAGTATATTATCAAACACTTTCACTTCATTAGATTCGGTCTTTTCAGTCATTCCAGACGTGCAACCGTTACCAAAGGGACGTAGCTAGGGGTGGGCCAGACCTGGCCCTGGTCCAGCCCAAATTTTAAAAATGTCTTTATTTTTAGTGTAAAAACTTTCGTTTAAAAACATTTTCAAAAATATTCATTGTACCGACTCAGTCTGGCCCAGTGTCCTGGCTCCGCCCCTGTTTTACCATTTTAACCCTTTGAATCATTCCCACCACTATTCATTCAACTATTCAAGTATGACTAAACCAATATCTATATCAATATCAATATTGTACAGTTTTTAACCCTTCATCCGTTCATTCACATATGTTTACAGTTGACTCTTGAAGTTGAAGCAGGTAAATCCGATCTACTATCTCTCTTCTCTGCTGTTGTTTTGCTTTCAAATGAGTTGTTGAATTTCGTTACCCGCTCTTCATTTTCAATGATATGTTCATCTCTCGGAGAGACCTCATTCAGCGTTGGAAATTTTTTGGCCGTTTTGAGTTCTTGGCCTGCTTAATTGGTAGTAGATGGCTTTTGTAATAGGTATGAAAAAATCAATTTGTTGACAAGTGAGGTTATCAATTTGAACCTTCCCGGATTAAGGAATCTGAATTGGACCAGAGTAAGAGTAATTATACTAGACTTGAATATTTACTGATGGACGCATCAGTCTCTGATTCCTAATACACTGATGATGTTTGTGGTAATTTTGTACACATTCTCCTGTAGCCCAAGTATGGAGTGTGAATTTTGTGTACATAACAGTTATATTGGCCATATTATGGTGTACAGCACAGTATCAAACTTTTTCTGAACTAAAACCTGTGATTTACCTCCTCATCCAGATCTTGGGCAGGGGCAGAGAGAGCCCATGCTGGTGGGCACTGGGCAGTGCAAAGAGTTCACCATTTGAAGAAACTCTTTGCTTCATCCATATTTACTTTGCCTCTTATCTAACCCGCTCTCAGGCTCCGTTTGGTAGCTCTATCCAGCTTATTTTGCATATTACCAAAATAAGCCTAATACGTATGTAGTAGTATTTCAACTTATTTGGTAGAAGTAGAGGCATGGAATGTTCTTTTGTAAAAAAGTGTTGCAAATAGGAGTAAAACACTAGTTATGCTCTATCCTAAAAATTGGATTCATTCTTTCCCAATATAATACTCCGTAATAAAGTAGTTAAATCTTCTTTGAGTTGAGGAGTCCTGTTCTCAAGGATGACTAATGATCATCTTATTTGAGGAAATGTGTTATGTTTTTGTGACAATTCAGTATATTGATTTACTCATTTCTCTGTCATAATACTCAGTATATTAAGAGAAATGACCCTTACCAAACGGGCCTTGAGCACACTCATAATTGTGTTCATACTTTCCAGATATTCATGCAACTTGGAAGTATATGTGCGCTAATTTGGAGGTTACCATCTTGAAAAAAGAATGGCGACGGGAATGGTAATGCATACGGGGGGATGCCATTGCAAGAGAGTGAGATGGCGTGTGAGGGCACCAGCTAGTGTTGTTGCTTGGGCATGCAATTGCTCTGACTGCTCCATGAGAGGAAACACCCACTTCATTGTTCCATCTCAAGAGTTTGAGCTTCTTGGAGATTCCCAGCAATTCCTTACCACCTACACTTATGGTACTCATACTGCAAAGCATATTTTCTGCAAAGTCTGTGGGATTACTTCCTTCTACATTCCACGGACGAATCCGGACGGAATAGCCGTTACATTCAGGTGTGTGGATCACGGCACCCTATCCCATGTTGAGATCAAACAGTTTGATGGAACCGATTGGGAGAAGTCATACAAAGAGAGCAGCATTGCATCACTCTCTAAAATGAAAAGTGAAGATTTATAAATTATAATCCATCAGGTGTATATGGCGGCATGTCATGTTTTGTTTCTTGTACACTTACAATTTGATTGTTCATCTTTTATAACTACTTCTCTTATTTTACTTGCAAGTGAAAAAAACATCCGATAAAGCAAAAACATTGAATAATAATGCGTAGTAATAATAATAATAATAAAGCAACTTACAAGTGTTCATTGTGTATATTAAATCAAACTCCTTATTCATGTTCAATGTGACTGACACAGGATGTTCATTGGCATCCCCGGCAGCCAATGTTACTGGTTTGAAGAAGAAGCATAAAGCAGGCCGGCATGTGTAAGCGAGTCATTGCTGTGTACAAGTATACAAAATTGGGACATTGTTGTAACTGATATGAGTTTTGATATGTGATTGCCAATGACTACATTGTTTGTATGTCACTTTGTCAATTTACCTCCCTTTGGAATATATATATATATATATATATATATATATGTTTCGTAATGACCAGAGAATGCAGCCAGGGTTTTGTATGCTGGTGGAAGGGGCAACTTATTTTCCAAGTTATTTTTTTATTTTATTTTAAAAACCTGTATGTACATAAAAAGCTAACATATATGCAGAGGCTACTAATCTACTTTATTGAGCGGAAGAAGATTTGATTATCTTAACAACCAAAAAAAGAAAAGAAAAATCAGAACTGTACTGTAAATCCACTACGAAAGAAAATCTGAAATTCTTTTTAAGAATCCAATTGCAGAAGAAGCCAATAAGCGATCATCACCCTAACATCTACTATTATTCATTTATTAGAACTAAATGGATTCTATTGTATACAAAAAGTGTACATCCATTTCTACACTTGTGTTTTGCTCTTAATTCTGATGCACTTTACCCATATTTTGCTCCTGATCACTTATTCTTATCTTTCTCTCTTCCCTGTTTTCTATATTTGAGTTCTTGTCAAAACATAGCTAGGTGTTGTTTGGCAAGGCAACATTCTGAGTTTCATTATTATTGTTATTGCTATTATGATTGTTGCTATAATGTTTGGATCACTGGGGAAACCTCCTGTTAGAACTTACTATAGATTGTTTATTTCCTGGCTTCAAATTAACTGAGCTGCCTGCCTGTTTCAAAACTTTACTTGTCATATTTGATTGCGTGTTAGCGTGTAGTATGTGTACTATGTATGATCTACTAAAGTATGCTCTACAACATGTTTGGTTGGGAGGAAAAAAAATTATTTCCCCCAATTCCAAAAACTCAATTAAGTCAATTCTACCCATGCTTCGTTGAGAACATTTAAATTTCCATTTAATTGAAATTCTTTTAAATATATGGAATCATAAATGCTAGAAATATCCCAGGTTATTATAATTGTGCCCCTCTATTGTTTGTTTTGGAGAAACTTTTTATAAACTCATGCTTGACATTTTGTATGAGAATCATGAGATTGTGATGTCCTTTTGTTCAATAGAGGATCATGTCTGGAATTATGATGATCAGATCTTACTTAAACGAGTTAAATCGAGTCACTCGTATAACAATTTAAAACTTAATATATGTAATTTTATATTTTACTTAATTACACAGAGTATAATTTAATTGGGATGAGGGTATTTTGATAATTGTGGAAGTTATTGCCATTGATGTTCCATAGTTGACAAATCACTACATAAATCTGGATTGCTACTTAATTCGTAAATCCTGTTCCAATAAAATTTATATTCCATTTCTACACAAGTACATCTTGTCAACAAAATGACCCGTTAGTTTTGAAAAAAAAAATTGACTTTCAATCATTCAGTTATGGTCTGTTTTGAAATGTAATATTTCAATTCCCTTATAGTTGAGAAAGTGATCCTTAATGGTTTCAATCCTCTAGACTAATTATATTAATCTAAGGAAATACCTCACAGGGAGTCACGGCTGCACCAAATGTTGAGAGTTGAGATGAGGAGAGCAAATAACAAAGTTAATAACAAAAAACTCATTCGAAGAAAATACACATTCAGACATACAAAAAACGTAAACTAAGGAAGCACAAAAAAATGTACACCAAAGTTCATCACATCCGAGCTGGCGAGATATTGCAAAAAACGTCTAAGTCAATCACGCTTCATGGCCTTTGTGATGAAGGCTCTGGCCATCACTATTAAGAGGTAAGCTGAAACCGTAACACCAATTCCAAGTAGCAGAACAAAGCGATCGAATGCAGCATCCTGCATTGTGTAAACTTGAAGCTTTATTGTGTCCCAATTACTCTCCGTCCAAACAGGATCCTGGTCGGGTTCAGATGCCCCAATAGTGGCATTGGAAGGTAGAACTTTCCAAGTGTCTGTTTCATACTTCAATCTAGTTGAATAAGCTGGTACATACCTGAAATTACACATTTCCCCACTCAAAACAGTAATGGACTATTGTGCAGTAAATGTGTTTTATCACTTTTATGACCTTTAATTATTACTGTATTACTTTGATTTTCTTGCAAGCAAATTACAATGTTTTCTTTTGTGTCCCTCATTGTCAACCTGCACTTCAGTGTCACCTTTTCCAAGTCAACTTTCTATAACTCTTCTGGGACTACAAGGAGAATTGGGGCAGAATGACACACACTGTTCTACTTTAAATTTACGTGTCTCCAACTGTTGAAATATACTCCCTCCGTCCCCCTATGTTTGTCCCGTTTTACCTTTTTCGTGCGTCCCATTAAGTTTGTCCCATACCATATTAGGTAATGTTTGAGTGGCTAGAATTCATTATTACTTTATTCACACTTTATCAATTCAATACCAACCACACAATTCTACATTTTCTTAAAAACCACTCTACACCCCTTTGTCCCAAACTTAGGGGGACAGAGGTAGTAATATATAGTACTTCTGAAGAAAGTGTGGAGAAGCAAAACGGGAGTTCTATGAGAAGTTTGTGTGTACCATGCAAGCCTTTTTTAAAACAACAGTCCAAAGGAGAATTTGGGAGGAGCTAAAAAGAAAATAAACTAAATTACATGGATGAAGAATAATACTCTGTATTTTAAAGTTTGCGACACTTTTCTTTTTGAGATGTATATCTAAAAGTTTGCTACATTTTCCCCTTTTAATAAGTTTTCCCTGTAAAAATACTCAACTACCCTTGTTCTTTTACATTTTATCTTCTCTTTCATACTTTTACACATACTCTCCTACTTTTTCTACGCTATTCATTACCCCTACTATTTTTCTCCTCAAATAATGTGCCAAAACCATGTGTAGCAATCTTAAAAATACGGAAGGAGTAATATTAATCATAATATTAAAAATATTAGTATTATTGAATTTGCATGGAACTTGAGACAATAAGATGCTATATTTGAGCCTTTAGAAATGCTCTGTACCTTGTGGTGGAGATGACACATATGCCCTTCCCGTCTGTTTCTGTTCGGATGCATGATTCCCCAACATTGGCACAATCTTCTGGACAAGCAGAACTGGTATTGGAAGGTGGGATGGATGTTTTTTCTGCCAAAAAGTTCCATATAAACCGAGAGACATCCCCCACATTACCAGGATAAGGCACAGAGGAAGGTTCCCCAGTGATAACACCAACATAATGGTTCGGGCAGCTGAAGGAAGGAGAAATGTAGCGTTTCACAACTCCACATGATAAGCCTGGTTCACAACTTAGGAGACAACTGAGAAGTTCTTCGACCAATGAAGAATTTGCATTGATAGTGTTTAGAAGCGAAGCATTAACTTCATTCTTGTCACTGGCAAGGATGTATAAACTTCGGGCAACGAGAGAAGCAGCTGTGACTAATGCTGAAGAGTTGATGTTGGCTGCTAAAATCATCAAAGCAACACATTGAATGAAAAGACTATGTATCTAGCAAAAGATGGACTAACCAAGGAGAATATGATAAGATCAACTCACTAAGATCATCAAGGTGACTATGATAGAAATTGTTCCTGTATGCATCATCAAAATCTTCCAAAACTATGCCAGAAGTTTGCGGATTCTGTTAGAACGGGTCAAGTGTCAAAATAATTACTGGGCCGAACTTAATGTTCTACTAGAGATTTAGGGCATGTGCAGAGGGGCATTCTAAATTTACACCAGGATCAAACAATGTCCCCAGTCTAATTGAGCCAGAAACGGTTTTTTTTATTATTAAAACAGAGGAAAAAGTTGAGACCATAATGCAACACATTTTTTACCCTAACCTTTCTCATAAATGCCATTAATGAAGATGGTGGTAACCCAGGATTTGATTTCTTTGCCTTTGAGACTTCAATACTTTCTGTTTTCATTGAGTTTTGAGCATGAAGCAATGAATTCCAAGTTTTGTTTGTGGAAGAGCCCTGTGAAAAAGGATAACATATGTGTCATACTGTCATATATAATATATATATATATATATAATGCTAACAGGTATGAAACGAACAGTTGATGACCAATGAAGCACAGAAACTCTTGGAAAAGAGTATGTTTCTGTTTGGGAAACTCTTTAGAACTCTCCAAACAAATGTTTTTATATTAAAGATGCCGTTTCACATTTCCCCATGATTAGTGGATGGCAAATTGGAACGCGTATATAGTTGTACACAGTGAGACCATCTCTGGAATCAACTCCAGATGATAAGTATTAAAAACTTGTTTCACCATTTCTTTAATTTTAGACCTGTGAGCATCAAACCCCGTAAAGGAATCACGTAGTTGACATTACAAAAGCATATACAAAAAATTGTACGGTAAACATAGTTCTGAGTATTCTCAATAGTTATACCTAAAGTTTCAAACAAAGCAAGTGAGAAACATCTTACCTCAGTAAGATGAGCAAAGAATTTCTTTACGCCGTCGGTGACACTCTTCCCAATTGACCCAATTTCTAAAACCTACAAATAGTATAACATTTTACAAGTTTCCCTATCATCAAATATACTCAAAGAAATAACTCCTTTCACCTTTTATAGTGAATATCAGCACTATATAGGAGGACAAAAATGAAACTTTTCCATCTAAGACACAATTTGATGCCATGGTGAATTCATTCATAAATATATCATACATATACCTTTATAATTTACCCAGGGTCTGTTTAGATTCCAAAATATACTGTGCAAAGAAAGCCTCGAGGAAAATTGCAAGAAAAGAAAATATGGGGGAAATGATATGATAAAACTAGATAAATTTATCTTATATACATAGCATTTGGAAATGCTCAATTTTCTTATTTAAGTCTATTAATTAAATAAATAAGAAATCTAAACATACAACTAACGACAACATCCAAGCCTTATTCCCAAAAGATTTTGGGATTAGCTAACATGAACCAATCCATGACATTAAAGCCAAAAAGAGACGAAAGGTAAGCAAAAAAAAGAAGATAAAAATAGCATAAGAACATAGAAAGATAAAGAAGATAAAAGAAAACGAGAGAGAAAAAAGGGATCAATCGTCCACACGAATATGTGCCATCCACTTTGCTTATTCCAAAGCCGTACTCTCATCCAACCCAAGAAGCGTATCAGTTATGATTCATCTAAACATCATCATCATCATTACCCCAGTGCCGTAAAGGCTCCCACCTATGGTGGGGTAGGGGGGGGTCGGATGTATGCAGTCTTACCCCTATACTAAAGCACCGAGATACTGTTTCCGGAACCAA